AAAAAAAAAAAAAAAAGAAAGAAAGAAAGAAGAAAAAAGATAGGAAATATAGATTTGGGGGGGTGGTTAAGAATGCCACAGGCATGGGCCAGCCCAGGGGCCCTACCATTTCCTCCCCTCCATCCTGGGGAAGGGGGTACCTACTTGGGAGAGTGTCCCACACCTCTTTCTGACTTGTGCCTAGCCCAACTGTATCTGCAATAATAACTTGGTCTAAAAGGAAACCCAGGAACAGATAGAGAGGCCAGCCAGCCAGGAGGTTGGCAGCCCAACCCAGCCCAGTCCCAGTGTTAGTGGTCACTGCAAGAGCTTTTCATTTGTAGATGTTGTACCTCTCAGAAAACCACCTTGGAGCCCAGATCTCTGGCTTCTACTTCTGATTCTGATTCTGGGCTTTAGCACCTCCAGAAACTCAGGTATCCTGGCTATCTGCCCCCACCCCCCAGGGCTGACTAGTCTTCAGTATGGCCACTCCCTGCCCCTGAGGCTGTGGTAACCAGAGCCAGGCTCTAGCCGGCTTTTCCAGTCCAAGGTTGGAGGTGGTGCCTGGAGTGCCCCTGAAGAGGGTGGGGGCCCTATACCCCGGAAGTCCTGATCCTTGGGCCACTCTGAGGTCTAGTGGGGTGAGAGCTGGAGTCAGGGCAGTTTTCATAGGGAAGTTAGGGGACAGCAGCCCTGGGGACTGCCCTTTCTGAGCTCTGAGAAGGCAAACAGAATCAGACCTGGGGTACAGGGGACTGGGGGAAGGGGTGGCTGGGAAAAATGGTGGCCACTTGGCTCTGGAAAGGAGGTAATGTCTGGTGGCCGGGAAACGAGGCCAGGATAAGAGGGAGGTGGGGGCACGCACCTTCAGGGGCCTACCAAGCTGTGGAAGCATCTGTGTTATGGCAGGCTCCCTCTGGGACCCACCATTCTGCGCCCCTTCCTGACTATCTCTGTGTATCCCAGCTTCTTCCTACAGGCAGGATGATCCCAGTGGCAGAGTTCAAACAGTTCACGGAACAGCAGCCTGCATTCAAGGTGCTCAAACCCTGGTGGGATGTGCTGGCTGAGTACCTCACCCTGGCCATGCTCATGATTGGGGTCTTCGGCTGTACCCTCCAGGTGAGGGGCGGAGCCAATGTAGGTGTGGTCTTACTGTCCTGGCTAGAAATGGGACCCAGCAGTCTAGAGCCTGGCTAGCCCTGGGGAAGTCCAGAAGCCTTCCCATCACCCAAGAAAGTAGAGAAATAAAGACAAAGCCAGACCCCTTATCTTCTCTCACCTCCATCTGCAGCCCCACCACCATCCTCTGTGCTGCTCCCGTGTTGCATACTTTCATCCTACACAGCTTTCTCCCTGGAATCTAGAAAGGACTGTAGTTACCATGTGTATTTGCTGCTGTAACAAAAGAACACAGACTGAGTGGCTTAACACCAAAAATTTATCATCTCCCAGTTTTGCAGTCCGGAAGTCTGAGATCAAGGTGTTAGTCTACTATGATTCTGGTAGCCTCAAGTGTTGCTTGGCTTGTAGATGGCATTATTCTCCCTGTATCTTCACATAATCTTCCTTGTGTGTCTTTCATCTCTGTGTTTAAGCCCCCTACCCTTTTTAATTGATAGTGTCTTGCTATATTGCCTAGGCTGGTGTTGAACTCCTAGGCTCAAGCTATCCTCCTGCCTCAGCCTCCAAGTAGCTGGGACTACAGGATAGAGCCACCATACCTGGCAATGCCCCCTTTCTATAAGGACAGAGCCATATTGGACCTACCCTAATGGCCTGGTCTTAACTTGACTACCTCTACAATGACCCTATTTCTAAAAAAGGCCACATTCACAAGGAGTGGCAGTTGGGATGTCAGTATGTTTGAGGGGGGCCAGGCACAGTGGCTCATGCCTGTAATCCCAGTACTTGGGAGACTGAGGAGAGTAGATTGCCTGAGCTCATGAGTTTGAAACCAGCCTGAGCAAGAGTGAGACCCTGTCTCTAAAAAATAGCCAGGCATTGTGACAGGCGCCTGTAGTCCCAGCTACTTAGGAGGTTGAGGCAAGAGAATAGCTTAAGCCCAAGAGTTTGAGGTTGCTATGAGCTGTGATGTCACAGCACTCTACCAAGGGTGACAAACTAAAACTCTCAAAAAAAAAAAAGTGTTTTGGGCTCAGCCCCTATAGCATAGTGGTTATAGCACCAGCCACATGCACCAAGGCTGGTGGTTTGAACCTGGCCCCAGCCTGCTAAACAACAATGACAACTGCAACAGCAACAACAAAATAGCTGGGCATTGTGGCAGGTGCCTGTAGTCCCATATACTTGAAAGGCTGAGGCAAGATAATTGCTGAAGCCCAAGAGTTTGAGGTTGCTGTGACACCACGGCACTCTACCAAGGGTGACATAGTGAGACTCTGTCTCAAAATAAAATGTTTTGGGGAGACACAATTCATCACAGTTGCTTTTTTCAGACAAAGACCAATGCTCAGAGGTTTAGCAACTCTTCTAAAGTCACAGCTGGCTGGTGACAGTCAGGGATTGGGGTTTCTCATCTTTAGCCTGTTTCTCCCCACCCTCCCTAAATCTCCAGGCCTCCCCTAGGCCTGCCACTGTCTTTTGCTATCTCTCCCACCCCCACAGGTGACACAGGACAAGATCATCTGTCTGCCCAGTCATGAGCCCCAGGAGAACTTATCAGAGGCCCCCTGCCAGCAACTGTTGCCACAGGGGGTCTCTGAGCAAATGGGGGCCCTCCGGGAGGTGCGTGGCCTCAAGAACAACCTGGACCTACAGCAGTACAGCTTCATTAACCAGCTCTGCTATGAGACTGCCCTCCATTGGTATGCCAAGTACTTCCCCTACCTTGTGGTCATTCACACACTTATCTTCATGGTCTGCACCAGCTTCTGGTTCAAGTTCCCTGGTACCAGCTCCAAGATCGAACACTTCATCTCCATCCTAGGCAAGTGTTTCGACTCACCATGGACCACACGAGCCCTGTCTGAGGTCTCTGGGGAGAACCAGAAGGGCTCAGCTGCTGGACGGGCCACAGCAATCATAGTAGCCACGGCAGGGGTGGGACTGGGGAAGGCAGGAGATGGGGAGAAGGAGAAGGTGCTGGTGGAGCCGGAGAAGGTAGTGACTGAGCCACCAGTTGTCACTCTGCTTGATAAGAAAGAGGGTGAGCAGGCCAAAGCCTTGTTTGAGAAAGTCAAGAAGTTCCGTGTCCATGTAGAAGAAGGGGACATCCTTTATACGATGTATATCCGGCAGACAGTACTCAAAGTATGCAAGTTTTTGGCCATCTTGGTCTATAATCTGATCTATGTGGAAAAGATCAGCTTCCTGGTAGCCTGCAGGGTGGAGACTTCTGAAGTCACAGGCTATGCCAGCTTCTGCTGCAACCACACCAAGGCCCACCTTTTCTCTAAGCTCGCTTTCTGTTACATCTCCTTTGTGTGTGTCTATGGGCTTACTTGCCTATATACACTCTACTGGCTCTTCCACAGGCCCCTCAAAGAGTACTCCTTCCGTTCTGTGCGGGAGGAGACTGGCATGGGGGACATTCCTGATGTCAAGAATGACTTCGCCTTCATGCTACACCTCATCGACCAGTATGACTCGCTCTACTCCAAGCGCTTTGCTGTCTTCCTCTCTGAGGTCAGTGAAAGCCGTCTGAAGCAACTCAACCTCAACCATGAGTGGACGCCTGAGAAGCTCCGGCAGAAGCTGCAGCGTAATGCACACGGCCGGCTGGAGCTGGCCCTCTGCATGCTCCCTGGGCTGCCAGACACTGTGTTCGAGCTTAGCGAGGTGGAGGCGCTGCGACTGGAGGCCATCTGTGATATCACCTTCCCTCCAGGGCTCTCACAGCTGGTGCAGCTGCAGGAACTCAGTTTGCTACACTCGCCTGCCAGGCTGCCCTTCTCCTTGCAGATCTTCCTTCGGGACCGCCTGAAGGTGATCCGCGTCAAGTGCGAGGAGCTCCGTGAGGTGCCCCTCTGGGTGTTTGGACTACGTGGCTTGGAGGAGCTGCACCTGGAGGGGCTCTTCACCCCAGAACTGGCTAGGGCAGCCACCCTTGAGAGCCTACGGGAGCTGAAGCAGCTCAAGGTGTTGTCCCTGCGGAGTAATGCGGGGAAGATACCAGCCAGTGTGACTGATGTGGCTGGACACCTGCAGCAGCTCAGCCTGCACAATGATGGGGCCCGACTGCTGGCCCTTAACAGCCTGAAGAAGCTGGCAGTGTTGCGGGAGCTAGAGCTGGTGGCCTGTGGGCTGGAGCGCATTCCCCATGCTATCTTCAGCCTCGGGGCACTGCAAGAGCTTGACCTCAAGGACAACCACCTGCGGTCCATTGAAGAGATCCTCAGCTTCCAGCACTGCCGAAAGCTGGTCACACTGAAGCTGTGGTACAATCAGATTGCCTATGTCCCCGAGCACGTGCGGAAGCTCAGGGGCCTGGAGCAGCTCTACCTCAGTCACAACAAGCTCGAGACCCTGCCTACCCAGCTGGGCCTGTGCTCTGGCCTCCGTCTGCTGGATGTGTCCCATAATGGGCTGCACTCCTTGCCCGCTGAGGTGGGTCTCCTCCAGAACCTGCAGTACCTGGCTCTGTCCTATAATGCCCTTGAGGGCCTGCCAGATGAGCTCTTTTTCTGCAGAAAGCTACGGACGTTGCTTCTGGGCTATAACCACCTTCGGCAGCTCTCGCCCCAGGTGGGAGCCCTCAGGGCCCTCATCCGCTTGGAGCTCAAGGGCAACCGGTTAGAGGCGATGCCAGAAGAACTGGGCAACTGTGGGGGGCTGAAAAAGGCAGGGCTTCTGGTGGAAGACGCCCTTTACGAGGGCCTGCCCGCAGAGGTACGAGAGAAGATGGAGGAAGAATGAGCCAGGGTGGGTACAGCGGGTTGAGGTAGGACCCCAAGGATGCCTCTATGAAGGAATCTCTACCATTCTCTACCAAGGGAGGTGGCCACGTGGGCACAGGCCAGGAGAAAAGGGGCAGACTAGTGTCAGCCTTGTGGGGCCCAGGCAAGATCTGGGACTGGTTTGTCTAGGGAGTCATGACGTTGTGAATTCACTGTAGAAGCCCATGTGGAGGGATTAACTCAGTCATGCAGTTCTCAGACCAAAACCACACCTTGTCTGTCGCTGGCTGGCCTATTCCATCCCTAGACCAGAACTGGATAATCCAGCTTAATTAATGCCACATATAGGGGTGGGGACACATCCCAGTGGGATTTCCAGCCCTTCCCCCAACCCAACAAAGCAGCTTATATCTGGGACTCTTTCCCCAGGAACACAGGACAAGGGACCAACCCCCAACTCCAATTTTGATTCTAATTCCTTATTTATAAGTTGTTTGCTATAGGCTTCTATACTTGGAACAATACTACTCAAATTTGGCTATGCATCAAAATCCATGGCTAAGAAAAAAATTTAAATCCAATTGAAAACAAAACAAAAACACAATGGCAGAATTAGTATAAAACAAAATATCCCAGGCCCCACCCTTGAAAGAAAAACTCAGGAGGTTGGGTGGGGGCCCAAAACCTGCTCAAATATAAGCATCTCAGATAATTCTGATGCAGGCAGTTCTATGACAACAACAGCATATTGGGAAATGCTGGTTTAAAGAACAAGTATCTGAATGTCTAGCTTCTGATCCCTTTTTATATCCTAGACCTTTCAAGAAATCAATGAAACCTGGGTGCCTCCTTCCTCAGTAAAATGTACATACACACAAAACTGTGCAAACAACTTTGGGCAGTTGATAAATTTCCCCCAGAGACCTATTCATGTACTTCCTAAGGTTGGCAGCCTCCAGACGAAGAACACTTGCAGCAGAGGCTAGGTTTTTCTGAGGACAGGCAGGGATTTTGTCTTATGAATGTTCCATCCATGGGTGCTTAATAAATAATACTAATTATAAGAATTCTAATTCTGTTCTCTTACTCTCCTGTCATTGTCTAAACCTATTTAATGGAGCCAAGTAACACTCATGTGCCAGAATCAAGGATGTGAATCTCTTGTCCTGAGGACAGAGGCACAGAAGGCAGCTTGGAAGGGAAGATAGAGAGCTAATCCCAAGGAAAATTCAATGCTGTGACATCTGCCTAGCTTTTGTCTGGAGACTCCCTTTTCCTTAACCTCTCCCCCTCCACCTTTCTTTGTTTGAGGAAAAGAAAACAAAAGTTTATTTATTTGCTGGCAAATACGGACGATAGCATACTCTCATCTTAAAGAACTGTTGTCCCTCCAACACCAAGCAGAAATATGGGATTTTTAAAGGGCTACGGCTGTTTATAGCATCGTCAGTGATCTTGCTCTCTTTTTCTGGATAATTCCGTTGAGCCATCTCCTGTGGTTTCACTGCCTCTCTGATTACCAGCCCCAGATAGGAAGCCAGGTTTTAATTCTTCGAAAATGGTGAGAGGTTTTATAAACAACTTGTAAAGCATTTTGCCCTTTTTCAGACCCTTACTTCTGTTACAGACATTATCTGAAAACCCATTTTTATCCTCTTAACGCTACACTTTTGTGTCTGCTCTGTCCACAAGCCTTCAACACTCACCCACCAAAGTGTTCCCTCGTTAAGACTGGGAGCTGGCAGGGCACTTGGCATAGCTGGCTTGACCCCGACCATCTACGCTTGACAACCTCCCAGATGTCCCTGCAAAATTGGAGACTGCTGGCACCTAAGAGCCCAGGCACCCGGGGTTCCAGATGGGGACACTTCCCCCCCAGCACCCTTCAAAGCACTTAAAGGAGTGATTTAGGATGTGCGAACGCTGGGCAAAAGTGCCTAACCCCGAGGCCCGTCTTCAGATAGGAATTCTGAGTGTCCAGGGGCTGGGCTCACATCCTGCGAGAAGCACAGATGAGGGGGGCTACGTCTTGAGGTTCCAAAGGTCTGGCCAGGAACTCTGGCCCCACTGTTGAGGTCAAGGGTCATGCCCCTGGGCTCCTAGGGTCCTTTCCTACCGCCTGGCCTCCACCAACCCTGAGCTTGCTGGGACTGTCTGAAACAGACAGGGCTCCTCACGGAGCGGAAAGCCAGGCAGCAATTAAGCACACATGGATCTTAACGAAGCACCGTCCGAAGCGAGGAAGGCAGTACTGAGGGGGCGTGGTTCATCAGAGAGCACATAGCGGGAAAGAGCGAGGAACAGGCTACAGGCTAAAGCAGCACTGCCGCGGGGACCACAGGTGACGGATGCAAAGAAAAAGAGGGTCCATGGCTGGGCATGTGCAACAGAAGCCACCCGCAAGGCCTTGTCTCCGTACCTACAAGCGTGTGGATTTCCCCGCCCACAGGTCTCCGAAAAAAAGGTGGGTTGCCTTGCTCTCCGCTCTCTAGCGCGCTCCCGGATTCGCGCATGCGCGTCGCAATTGGGGGCGGGGGAGGACTTGCATATTGCTCGCCGCAAGCTCTAGGTGACGGCGAACTTCGGGATGGGCGAAGCACGCACGCGCGGAGACTAGCACGCGGGGAAGGGCGGATGCACGCCGCGGACATGCGCCTTGCGGAGCGAGACGGCGACTCGGCGGGGTCAGTCTGGCGCAGGCGCTGTGCGGTGTTTGTCTGCCGGGCTGACGGGCAGTCGGGCGGTGCGCGGTGGCGGCGGGGAAGATGGCGGCGTCCTCCCTGGAGCAGAAGCTGTCCCGCCTGGAAGCAAAGCTGAAGCAGGAGAACCGCGAGGCCAGGCGGAGGATCGACCTCAATTTGGATATCAGCCCCCAGCGGCCCAAGCCCAGTAAGCACGGCGGCGTGGGGGAGGGGGCGGGCGGGGCGGGGCGCGCGCCGCGAGAGGCCCCGCCCCCATGCCCCGCCCCCGCTTCCGGGGCGCTCGCGCTCCCTCCTCTGCGCTCCCTCCCTTTATCCGCTGTCAGCTCTCGGGGATAGGGGTCGCTGACCCGGGGGGCATGGGACCTGCGAGCTCCCGGGCGGCCCTCCCCTGGCTGAGGGGTTCACACCCTCGAGGTTCGGGAGCCCAGTTACTGGACCCAGGCGAGGCCCCAGCCCGATAGTCCGCCCCCATGGCCGAGATCCTTAAAGGCTCTATCACCTGCACGGAGCTGGGCTGCCCCCTACTCCACAAGAAGGTTGCCACATCTAGGTCGTCCCGCAAACACAAACGTCTCTTTGGAACTGGTATTTCCCTTCCTGTCATTTTCAGTTAATGTCAAGATCCCGCCCCTCGGCCACATACACTGACGGGTTCAACCTGGCCCGGGCCTGCTAAACAGTAATGACAACAATAACAAAAAAATAGCCGGGCGTGTGTTGGGCGCCTGTAGTCCAGCTACTTGGGAGGCTGAGGCAAGAGTTTGAGGTTGCTGTGAGCTGTGACTCTATGGCACTCTACCGAGGGCGACAAAGTGAGACTGTCTCAAAAAGCCAAAAGATCCTGTCCCTCCTCTCCCCCATCCTGGGAACTTGCAATCACTTAGCAGGTGATCTGCTCACAGGCACACCTGATCTGAGGACACTTGAAGTCACTTGACCACATACAATACTCCCCCAGCTCTTCTTAACTGAGGATTCTCTCATTTGCTCTCCCTATGGCCATGTCTGAAGATCCCTTCCTAGATTCTGGGATGAACTTGTCACTGGGCTCAGCAGAACCCCTCCCACATGCACCAGGCTCCCTCACATCCCTGTAACTAGTGCCAATGCCACCATCTCAATGACTGTGGTTAGTCTCTCTAGAAATATACATCCAGCCTCCAGACTGGTGACTTTGTTACCTAGGCTCAAGTGACTGTTCTAATTCTTCTTTACACCCACCTGGCCTGGGGTCTCCTGAGGCCAGTGTGACTATATCTAAACTCTAACACTCCCCCCCAACCCACATGCACCTCCTTTCTGATGGTTCCTACCATCTCAGTGCCAGTTTCCCTGACATCTTGTCATCCTGGATCAACACCTCTTCCCCACAGACACATACCTGGCCTGGGATCACCATGACCACAGTAGCCTACTTGCTGTGTGTCACAGGACCCTGTCCCTAAATCCTCTCAGGCAGAGGGAATCAGACTTTCCCCTCCCACCAGACCATGAACACCTGCCACCCATGTTCTTTTCTGTGTCTCTCTTGACCCAGCAAAATGCTCTCTTTTAAATCTAATAGTTTATATAGCTCCCTTGGGGTCATCTTGCCAGGAGGGAGAAGGCACCCCAACCACTCCCTGGTTATGCAGCCTGACTTTCTCAGCCTGACACCCCTCATTCCCCATCCCACCCTCTTCTGACCTAGGTCAGCCTGGTTCCTCGGTTCCTGGGGCATCTCTTGGGGTCCAGAGAAATCCCGGAGCTGGAGATGCTGGCTTCAGACACTGCCTGGGGCAGGAAACCTGGCCCAGACATGGAGGGTCCCTGCTGAGCCCTGTGTGGATGAGAAAGGGCTGGGTATGGGGCCTGGGTGCCTTAGGGGGTGGCAATACCTGTACAAACGAGGCCCACAGTGGGCAGGCCCCCAGGAGCCCCCTCTAGGCGTGTGTGTCTTTCAGCTCCATCCCATCCCCCCCCCCCACTCCCCCATCCCATCTTGCCATCTCTATCAGTTTCTACCCATCTCTGCAGTGGTGCCTCGCGCCTACCCCTTTCTCCTTGTTATGATTTGATTTCTTTTCTTTTGGATGAATCGGTTGTTTCTGTTGTGATTTATTGTGGTGTTGTTTTTTTTTTCTTCCTTTTCCCCATCCAGTTATTGTGATCACTCTAAGCCCTGCTCCTGCCCCGTCCCAACGAGCAGGTACCAGCCTTTTTATCATCGCCGCTTGGACATCTGCACCATTGACCTAACCGCTGCCTTGGCTGCAGAATGCCATCCCTGTCCCCCCATGCTCTGTGTGTGTGTCTGTGTCTCTTGTCACCCTCACTCTCTGTCACGCCACTCAGGCAACGTGGGCCCAACCTGGCCTCCTCTGTGCCCTTTCACTTCCCCCCACCCCCTTCTTCTTGGGCTCAGGCTTGAACTCTCTGGAAGAGGAAATGGCCCCTGCAAAACAGGAGTCTGTAGCCTTCAAGGGGGCATATGTGTGTAACACATCACGAGTGTGTACATAGATGAGCGAGAAAGAAAAAGAAAGTTGGACCTAGTGGGTAGACTCTGCCTGTTTGATGCATTTCAACAATTGGATGAACACATAGCTCCCCCTGCTGCAGGTGTGGGCCTGTGTGGCTCCAGGGACACAACAGTGTCACAGTGGACCTCCCTTCTCTCCTTGAGGAGTTGAGGCTGTGGTAACGGGAGACTGCTTGTGGACAGTGAACACAGTCCTCTCTAAGGAGAACATAGCAGGGTTAGGAACTTGACTGGGAGGTCATCCAAGGAAGCCTCTGGAAAAGACGGAGTTTGAATAGGTGGGGTGAGGCAGGGAAAAGAGACAGCTAGCCCAGGCCCTGAGCATGGGTGCAGTTTGGGGAACAGACTTGGCAGGCAGTGTAGTGGGAGATTTGGTCAGGATCTGGCCCAGGGTGGTTATGTATAAGTATGGCAAGGTTGCCTGTGTGTGTGTGTGTGTGTTTGTGTCAGATGGGCAAGGGGGGCATCTCTGTCCCCAGCTACACGCAAGTAGGGATCTGTACCATGCCTGGAAGGGGTGTTTGCGCAAGTGTGTGTGTGTTGGGCTGGCAGTTTGCACATCCACGGCTCCTGTCAGAGTCAGCAGGTGCCTGCTCTCCAGCCCTCTCTTGTTAACTCTCATTCATTTTCTTTCTCTCACCCTGTTGCTCTCTATCCTCCTGAAGTGCGATATGGCCTGTCACCGCCTCTACAACCTCTGTTCTCAGGACTTTATGTATCTCCTTTCCTTCCCCCAACCTGAGTGCCCTTTATATCCCCACTACACCCCTGTTCATGGGTGGCAGCCTCTTCCCTGGGCCCTGGGCAGCCCTCAGAGGGCCTGGTAGATTGTACTAGGGAGGGGACCATGAGAACACCACAGGGTATGACCTTCACTCCCAGGGAACTGGCAGTGCAGGGCAGGAAACCCCCAGGGGCATGAGCTGATCAGTGTCTGGAGAGTCCAGGTGCAGAGAGCTTAGGGGGCAGGGGCCACAGGGGCCTTAGGAAGGATCCAGACTGTGATTTGAGCCATGGGCAGATGAGGCACAGTGATGCAGCAAGCAGAGGGCAGCAAGAGGGGACACCTCTGGGCTCATCAGGAATCCCAGACCCCAGAGCCCTTTCTTTGTTCCTGGCAGCCCCTGTGTCCTCTTCCACCTCCAAGGCTGCCCCTTCTCCTAGCTGAGGTCAAGGCCCTAGGCCCACAGGGCAAGGAGAGGACCCACCTACTGGCAGCTGCAACAGATTGTCCCCATTTGTTACTGGGCCGAGCCACTGGGACCTGGAGAAGGAAAGGCAGGTGGGAGGAAAGGGGCCACCCGAGAAGACTGCAGGAGCAGAGCAGGCCCCAGGCCTAGCCTAGGGAAAGGGGCACCTTGATAGCTGATTATAGCCAATGCCTTTCCAGGGTCAGGGCCTGGAAGGGTCAAGGGAGGGTTGGCTCCAGGGTCCCTTACCCTGTTTCCAGCCCATCCAGGGAGACTCCTAATCCTGCAATGAGCCTACCCTCCTGTCCCGGGCCCCTCTCTGGCCTGTGTCTTCAGTGCCGCCTCTGGGCAGCTGGGCCCTGAATCTTGGCTCCTGTTTGTCTGTCTGTCTCTTTCCCTTCCACCTCCGATGCCACCTGCCCATCCCAGGGTGTCCGCTGTCTGCTGCTGCCTGCCTGCCTGCTGTAGCATGCCCAAGCTGTCCGCATGCAGGCTGCTGGGAAGAACCAGTCCCTGGCCCAGCACGATCCCTGCCCAATCCTGCTAGTCCCTGTAGAGGTTGTACCCCCAGGTCTTTCCCCAGAGGACATAGGCACAGCCTTGAGTTTCTGCCTCTGCCCCTGCCCCCTTTGGCCCAAGCTCAACCTGCCAAGTGGAGAGGCTCTAGCTCAGCCCACTGACCAGAGGGGGTCCTCCCTGACCCCACAGCAAAATGTGGGGGCAAGGCAGCTGGAAGTTGGAGTCCCAAGCTCACTGTCTGTCTAGGGTGTACCACCCCAGTCTTTTCTGGGGACCAGGTTCAGTGCTGCCAGCAAGGCAAGAGCCCAGGTTGATCCTCCTCACAGGTGCCCCATTCTTGCATGGTCCAGAGTAGGGTGCTACAGCCTTGGCATGAGACCTACACAGAGGCAGGGAGGAAGGGGACATGCCAGGGGCTGCCTGGCCAAGGGATACCATCAGATCCCTGCCTCATTTCTCTGTCACCATAGATTGCAGCCCACCCCTCCCCACCAGGCCTACTCAGTCACCTTCCAGGTCAGGGTGAGAGAAGGCATCCTGAGGATAGCCCAGGTGTGGGGTGGGAGACCCCAGCTTCTCCTCTGGCAGCTAGGAAAGGGGGGGGCGGGGGAAGGTGAGGGTCCCAGCCCCTCCCCAAGTGCCGGGCCTGGAGCTGAGGCCAGCCTGGCACTGACCCCTCCCCGACACTGGCTCTCACTACCCCCAGCTCTGCAGCTCCCGCTGGCCAACGATGGGGGCAGCCGCTCACCGTCCTCGGAGAGCTCCCCCCAGCACCCCACACCTCCTGCCCGTCCCCGCCACATGCTGGGACTCCCGGCAACACTGTTCACACCCCGCAGCATGGAGAGGTGAGCTGCAGCCAGTGGGGGACCAGCAGAGGACTGGGGGCAATTAAATGTGGAAAGCCCAGTGTGGGGTACAGGGGGCCTCAGGTTGCTCAGTACCCCCCCTCCACCTGCACCTGCTCCCTGTTCCCCCAGCATCGAGATTGACCAGAAGCTGCAGGAAATCATGAAGCAGACAGGCTACCTGACCATCGGGGGCCAGGTACAATCTTCCCACGGTGCCCCCAGGGCAGGGAGCAAATAACCAAGCTGTACCCATCCCAGGGGCACAGCCAAGGACCTGGAGTCCCTCCAACCCTCGTTCTTCTCCCAGCGCTACCAGGCAGAAATCAATGATCTGGAGAACTTGGGTGAAATGGGCAGTGGTACATGCGGCCAGGTGTGGAAGATGCGCTTCCGGAAGACAGGCCATGTCATAGCAGTCAAGGTGAGTCTCAGCCCTCACCCTGGGCTGCCCAGTGCCGCAGCTGGTGCTGACTCCCTCCCTCTCATCCCTGCCCGGCAGCAAATGCGGCGCTCAGGGAATAAGGAGGAGAACAAGCGAATCCTCATGGACCTAGATGTGGTGCTCAAGAGCCATGACTGCCCCTACATTGTGCAGTGCTTTGGGACCTTCATCACCAACGTGAGTGCCAGTCCTGCGAGGTGCCTCCCATCCCTGTCCTAGGGTCCAGAGCTGCTCTGAGGTGGGCAGGAAGCTGCAACTGCCCCGTGCCCCACCTGTGTTCCCCACAGACTGATGTCTTCATCGCCATGGAGCTCATGGGCACGTGTGCTGAGAAGCTTAAGAAGCGGATGCAGGGCCCTATCCCCGAGCGGATCCTGGGCAAGATGACTGTGGCGGTGAGTGGCTGGCATGGGCTGGCGGCCTGTTAGGCAGGGCCTCCCCCCATCATGGGCACCCCACTGTGCACAATGCAGATCGTGAAGGCGCTGTACTACCTGAAGGAGAAGCATGGCGTCATTCATCGTGATGTTAAACCCTCCAATATCCTGCTGGATGAACGGGGCCAGATCAAGCTCTGCGACTTTGGCATCAGCGGGCGCCTGGTGGACTCCAAGGCCAAGACGCGGAGTGCAGGCTGTGCTGCCTACATGGCGGTGAGTGGGGACCCAGCAGGACAGGGATGGGGGCTAGGCAGCCTCCAGGTACAGCCTCTCCTTCTCCCCCCATAGCCCGAGCGCATTGACCCCCCAGACCCCACCAAGCCAGACTATGATATCCGGGCCGATGTGTGGAGCCTGGGCATCTCATTGGTGAGTTGGCGCCCTACACTGTCCTCACACTAGCAGTGAGGCCTTTGGGCTAGTGGGAACCTGGCCCCATCAGGTCCAGCCTTGCCTGTGTCCCTCCCAGGTGGAGCTGGCGACAGGACAGTTTCCCTACAAGAACTGCAAGACGGACTTTGAGGTCCTCACCAAAGTCCTTCAGGAAGAGCCCCCACTCCTGCCCGGTCACATGGGCTTCTCAGGGGACTTCCAGTCCTTCGTCAAAGACTGGTGAGAACCCCTGCCTCACCAAGAGGCTGAGGGAGCCCTTGCTTGGGACAGGAGAGAGTTAGAGGTCTCCTCTGGGGTGGGCTCCCAGCTGGGGCCACAGACTGGAGCTGGTGCCCTGGGACCCATGAGTTGGGTTTGGACCCAGCCTAAGGGGACAGCTGGCCCTGTGGGTATTGGGCAAGGTGGTCACAAGAGATTGTGGGTACCCAGCCATAACAGGCAGAGCTGTATATGCAGGAGGTCCACATCAGCCTCCCAGGGCCAGGAGACTTAAAGAGTGCCCACTTGGCGGGTCCCAGCTGCCAACAGGGCAGAAACTGTCAGCAGCTCCTTCCCCTATAGACCTTGCCACCCCTGGGTTCACTGCAGGCCTGAAATGGGTATAGTCGGGCTTCTCCTGACAGGCTTTCACCTCTTTTCCTCTCTTCCTTACTTTTCCAGCCTTACTAAAGATCACAGGAAGAGACCAAAGTATAATAAGCTACTTGTGAGTACCCCAGGCCTTTCCTTGTCCCCATACCTTGGGGGGCCCCAGGCCCTGAGCATAAGGCCCAGAGGGATGGCCCTTCCTCCTAACCCCCTGCCTTGGCCTGCAGGAACACAGCTTCATCAGGCACTATGAGACGCTTGAGGTAGACGTGGCATCCTGGTTCAAGGATGTCATGGCGAAGACCGAGTCACCGCGAACTAGTGGAGTCCTGAGCCAACACCACCTGCCCTTCTTCAGGTAGCTGCGTGGTAGCGGCCAGCCCCACAGGGGCCAGGGGCATGGCCACAGGCCCCCCTTCTCACCCAGCTGCCCACCAGGGGAGACCTGGGACCTGGACGGCTGCTGAAGGCTGAGGACAGAAAGTAGGGGGCCACCCACTTACCCTCAACTCCCTGCCCACCAGCCATGGACAGATGGATCCACCAGGCCCCAGCCCTTCCCAGCCTGGGGTCAGCCAGCTGTGCGTGTCCCCCTGACAGACACTGTGAACGGATGACAACAAGCCACAAGCAGACTCACTATTTATTCAGTTGTAACCTCTGGGCTGGGGCAGCCCCCAGGGGCCAGGAGAGAGCCTCCCAGTCCCCAGCCCTGCTCCTAGCCTGCCGTCCTCACCATTCCCCACGCACTTATTTCTTCTGTCACCCCCTACCTCTGTCCTTGTCACCGTCCTTGCCTCTGCCACCCTCCTGGCACGAGGCTATGCTCAGCCACCCCCTGGTGGGACCCCTGGGTCTGCTTAGGTCTCCATGGGGTGATGAGTCATTGGCCTCCAGAATGGCGTTGTGGCACTGAGACTATAGCTGGTGGGGCTGGTCTTTCTCCCTCCTTCTCTCTCTCTTTGATCTCAGGGGGTCCTTTTTGGAGTTTATTGTATTTTATTGTACTTGGGTGGGGGGTGGCTGAGGAGAGTTTGTTCTCATGGGGTTTGTTGGTACCTTCAGAAACTTTTACCAAAGTCATGTTTAGCTGCTTGTGAAGGGGCCTCCCCAACTATCCGTGGGCAATGGGGGCTGGGCTGGGCACTGCGGCTGCAGGGCCTCAGGTGCTAGCCCTACGGGGAAGACCCCAGCTTGGGGCGAGTTGAAGACCTCAGGGGATGTGGAGGTCCAAGGGGCCGTTGCCACACACAGGGTGGCCTTCAGGGAAGGTGGGCATGAGGTGGCGGGAGCAGGAGGCCAGAAGGAATTGAGGACAGGAGGGAGTTGGATTGAGAGCTAAGGGAATGGATGTGAGGGTTCAGGGATATGTGATAGGCTCCAGTGGGGGCAGGGGAACACCAGGCTGAGAGTGGGAGCAAAGTGTGGTCACCCCCATGGTGCCAGTGTGCCTCGTCACACCTAGCCAGGTGTCCACCCCAGCTCACCTACTGCAGCAGCAGCCAGAGCAGGAGGGGATGTGTTTCATGTTTGTCGGTGGTGCATGCAAATCAAGTGGACGAAAAAAACAAAATAGCAAAACAGAAAAAAAAAAAGAAAAGAAAAAATATAACCATAGAACCACAAACAAAATCCAACCAACACCAAAGGTGGGGAGCCTGGCTGGAGCAGCTGAAGCAGCATAGGCTTAGGGTCGCCATATCCTCTTATCTATCGCATTGACTCTATCATTATTATAGTCACAAAATGCCGCATGTTTAAAAAGTAATAGAATTCATCTTCTCTCTGCCCTAGGGGGCAGGTGCGGGGAGGCTACCTGCTCTTGCCTCTAGCCCCCTTTGGAGGTGGGGGTTGACAGGCCTGGCCCCCGTGCTTTCTCCTGGGGGCCAGCCATGCAGGCTTCTGCAGGTAGCCAGAAGGTCACTTGGCTGGTCCCAGGGCCAGCACAGGCCTGAGGCTGGCTACTTGGTTTTACTTTTATTTAACTTGATTTTCTGTTTCACGAGTGTGTCTGCCTGCCCCCAACCCCTTCAGTGTTACATGGGAGCCCTGGGGGAGCCTCTCGTACCTCCCCACCCATCCCCAGACCTCCCCTGGTCACCAGCCATCCCTCTGAAGCAGGCAGAGGACAGACCTGGGCAGGCAGGAGCCTGGGGTTTGGCCTAGCCCAGCCCACTAGGCTGGACCCCTTCTCAGGCTGCTAGTATTGCCCTGTCCGTTTTTAAAACAAAATGCCCTTGTTTGTAAATCCTTAGATGCTTGAGAATAAATCCCTCCCTTTTCTTCCACCGAGTCTGTGGTGTGTCTTGAGCCTGGTGGGGAGGAGGTACCTCATCTTCATGGAGGGGAAATTGATGCCAGATCAGAGGGAGGTATTTGGAGTGGTTTACCTAGTATTGGGCAGCTGGTGCATCACATGACTGACCTGCCCCCAGTACCCACAGGTCAGGCAGGAGTAGAGTCCTTAATTCCCTGCAGGCCTTGGGCCTTGGCTACGATGTCAGCTGCTGCCTGCCACCCCCGCTCTGTGTCCCAGGGTGGCTGTTTAGCCAAGGACAGGGCCACCTACCCACCTGCCAGGCTTGGGTGTGGTTGGGCAGGTGCTTCTGCTCTGGCCCCCAGACGCCCCGACCTCACCCAGTGCAGAATGTTGGGCTCTGCAGTCCTGTTGCTGCCCCTGCTCTTGGGGACTGCCCTATCACCGAGCGCACCACCGGGTATGTACGGGCAGAAGGGGACACTGGGCCTATCCCACTCTCAGCCCTCCCTGTGTGGTTCTTCCTCAACTTGACCTCTTGTCCACCTGGGGGAAATGGAGTCGGGTGGGATCTGCCTCTGTTCTCATGTTGACCCACGTGCCACATTCCATGGAGATGGCTCAGGCTGTGCAAGAGGAGGTCTATACAGATGCCCCTCAGAGTGGGTGTGTGGCCAGTCCCCACTGTTTGACAAAGACTACCTGAGCATCTGTATGTCTTAGCCAGTGTGTGCCTGAGTGCACCCACGTGAGGTCACAGGACAGGTGACCCACCTTTTGCCACCGCTGCCCTCTGCCTGGAAGAGTGAGCCCTGGATAGATAAAAAAATTCTCAGGATCCCGTTGACTCAGCTGGGCTTTGGCTGTACCCAGCAGGGTCTCTGGGGAGGGCACTCTCTCTGCCTGTTGACAACTCTTACCTGCCCTTAGAAAGAGAAGCAGCCTGGGGGAGGGGAGAGAGTTCTGCTTCTGCCATCCTGACACATCACCCTCATGCACTCTTCAACCTCGGGCATCCAGCTTTGTACCCCACCTCAGCTGTTGGGCTGTGCAAGTTCCAGGGGTATCCAGGGGACACATCACAGTAATTCACATGCCGAGAACGTGGCGCGTTGCCAAACCTGGATGAATCTGCCACTGCCACTGCATCCCTTCTCCAAAGTTTGTGGCAGGAACCAGGCGGTCGGAGAGCCTAAGAAGCCGCGCTGCCTCCGTTGTCTGTGCTGCCCTTTCCCCCTTCCCCACCAGCACCCCAATTCCCCGCGGGCCCAGAGTCCTGGCTGCGCAGACCCCTCTTCAGTCTGGAGTTGTCTGACGTGGAGGACGTCTTCCTGCGCCGCGCTGGGCCGCTCGAGGTACCAGCAGACAGCCGCGTATTCGTCCAGGTGTGAACACCGGGAGCACTACGGGCGGGTGGGGACTAGTGGCAGAGGACGATCCTGATGGCGCCTCCATCTCCCAGGCGGCCCTGGCCCGTCACTCTCCGCGCTGGGGCCTGGCCTTGCACCGCTGCTCGGTGACGCCGTCTTCACGCCCAGCTCCGGGCCCTGCTCTAGCGCTACTAAGTGGTGGCTGCCCCGCTGATGCCTCTGTCGCGGTACCTCCAACGATGTTCCACCAAGGTGCCACGCGCCCCGTGCGCTTCAGCTTCCGCCTGCGCCCAGTCTTCAACGCCTCGGTGCAGTTCCTGCACTGCCAACTGAGCCGCTGCCGCCGCCTCCCGGGAGTCCGCCGAGCACCTGCTCCTCTGACACCGCCGCCACCATCGCGGGTGCGCTAGTGCAGAGCCTCCAATCTGCACTCCAGGGCCCTTCAGGGGATAGCTGGGAACAAGCATCTCTGCCGACTACGAAAGGACACCTTGGGAGCCTGGGAGGACTTGGATGCTTTGGGACTTGGAGTCAGTAGGGGAGGGAGTAGACACTGGGTTGATCTCAGGGTAGGTGTGGAAACCAAAGGCACCTGCACAAGAATTCCTCAGGGGGCAGACAGCAGACAGTGAGGTCCCTCAGGGACAGCTGTGGGATTCTCTGGGCAGGGCTCTGCGATCCCTCCAGGGCTGGGAGACTGAGTACAGAAGGCCACTACAGGTCAAATATCTAGGCACAGGTTATCTAGAGAGCCACATTGTGTGACTTCTTTGAAGGGCTGGACTTTGAGGTCCTCAAGAGCTGAGCAGCTAAGCCACTGGTACGTTTAGGCGCTGGGCTCAGGAATCCTAAGGGGCCCAGTTTCCAGAGCTCCAGTGGAGGTGGCCTTGACTGTGGTAGAGTGATAGACTCTTAGGTCTCCCTTTGGGAGCCAAGATGGGGCCCTGACGTCCTGGTCTCTTCCCTCCCCGCCGTCCCTCTCCCCACAGTGTCTACCTCAGGATGAGGCATGCGCGGAAGCCATCAGTGGCAGCAGCGAGAGCCTGGGCGCTGACAACCCCCACCTGCATACGCTGACGCAGCCCATCGTGGTCACAGTGCCGCGGCCTCCCCCCAGTGAGCGCTCAATCCTCCCCCGTAGAGGGCCCTCGGAGTAGGGTTAGGACATCCGGGTCCTGGGCCCAGTCTCAGCGCTGAACTCTCCACAGGGCCCCCCAAGGTCGTCCCGGGCCGCGCGTTACCACCGGACCCTCCAGTGCCGGGCCCTGTGGCCCTGGAGCCCGCGCCGGTGGTGGCGCTGGTGTTGGCAGCCTTCGTGCTGGGCGCTGCCCTGGCCGCCGGGCTCGGCCTCGTCTGCACGCACTCAGGTACAGACCTCCGCCACTCGCGGACTTTTGTCAGCCCCCAGACTCTTACTGAGCGTCAGGACCCAGGGTCCGGCGATCTTGCCTACCCCGCCTGAGCAGCGGTAGACCTACCTCGGCTATGCCCGCAACAGCCCCCAGAGGGCGTCCTTACCCCGGCGCTGCGGCCAGCAGCACCTACTACAGCCTACTTCTCTCTTCCAGCGCCTCCGCTCCCTGGGCCGCCCCCTAGAGCCTCGCCCAGCAGCGACCAGCCCAGGAGGCCTCAATGAGACAGGTAAATGTGGAAGTGGGGGAGGTGGAAAGAGGGAATGACAATGACTTCAGGGTTCTTACTCTGTGCCAGGCACCATTTTGTTTTAATCATATGAACTAATTTAATCCTAATAATCCGCCGGGTGCGAAGTCTCGCGCCTTCAGCACTTGGGAAGGCTGAGGTGGAAGGATGGCTTGAGGCCAGAAGTTCAGGACCAGCCTGGGCGACATACAAAAACCCCATCTGTACAAAAGAAAGAAAGAAAGAAAGAAAAATCAGCTGGGCTTGGTGGCACACATCTGTAGTCCCAGCTGATTGGGAGGCTAAGGCCAGGAGTTCCAGGCTGGAGTGATTTACGGTAGGTCTCATGGCTGCATTCCAAGCTCGGCAACATAGTGGAGACTTTCTCTAAAAAATGAATAATGCTAACAACCTTCAGGTAGATACTATTATAACCCCCATTTTATAGACGGGAAAAATGAGGCACTCGCTTAAGGTAATATGTCACAATATTTGGTGGAGCTGGATTCCAACTCTGGTCACTGGCAGTGGGCTTCTCTCTCTGGGTCGAGCCAGGGGTCCTCAAATTTCCGGCATTAGGCATTAGGTGAAAAGAGTTCAGGATTCAGCTGCAGTTCCTACTTTCACCCCAGCATACAGACTGATAGAAGAGGCCTATGGTCTCCTGAGAAGCGGATGACCAACTAGAGTACACACCCTAGTTCAGCCTCTATCCTCCCTCCCCAGGGATGGCATGCCCATTGCCTGTTCCGGAGATGCACTCAGCTACAGCTTCAGCCCCATGCCTGCCAGGACTAGACCCGCCACCCTGGACCTCCTACCGTATGAGACCACTACCCTAGCTCCTCCCCACCCCCATTCCTCCTATCTGGGTTCAAAATAAACCTCTGGACTGTCGGGCTCAGTCAGTGTGGGAGTCCGTGTGTGCTCAAGTCAGGGGTGGCAGACCATGAGGAGCCTAGGACCAAGACTAGGGAGTTAAGGGCTCGGTGAAGTCCTGATTAGAGAATGGGGATTAGGCGTGGATCTCACACACCCTTACACAGGTGTTCACACACTGGCCAAGGAGAAGACTCTGGGGTATTTTGTCCTGAACATAAAGTGACACCCAACCCCACCAGCTTAAATTTAAAATAAGCCTCACCTCCTCCGTTTACCCCTGCCTTAGCCCTCCTGCCCCCCTGCAATCTTTCCCAAGCCTGCTCTTCTCTGCTGTCCATTCCCACCACTTCCACCCTGCCCTACTTCCAGTCTCCTCCCTGGTTTGGACTTTGCCCTCCTCTTGGTTTGTTGGTCAAGTCTTGAGTTCCTCAAATCCTGCCCGAGCTCCTCCCTTCCTAGTGCATAAAGAATGGGACTACTAGCCCCAGTTTACAGATAAATAAAACTGAGGCTTGGCTTGGCGCCCATTGCTCAGTGGTTAGGGCTCCAGCCACATGCACCAGAGCTGGTGGGTTGGAACCCGGACTGGGTCTGCTAAAACAAAAAATAGCTAAGCGTTGTGGTGGGCACCTGTAGTCCCAGCTACTCAGGAGGCTGAGGCAAGAGAATCGCTTGAGCCCAAGAGTTTGAGGTTGCTGTGAGCTGTGATATCACAGCACTCTACCGAGGGCAACATACCATGTTTCCCCGAAAATAAGACCTACCCAAAAAATAAGCCCTAGCAGGATTTCTATACATTTGTTAAATATAAGCTCCATCCCATAATAAGACCTAGTGATGGTCGTGGCTAGGTGCGGAGAGGAAGACACCCCCTGAAAATAAGCCCTAGTGTGTCTTCTTGAGAAAAAATAAATATAAGACTGTGTCTTATTTTCGGGGAAACGAGGTATGTGTTTAGTGAGACTCTGTCTCAAAAAGAAAAAGAAAAAGCTGAGGCTCGACAAGCCTAAATCACTTGCCCAAGGTCCCCAGGGCTGTTCGATCCCATAGTACAGGTTCTGGACCCCGATCAGACAGTTTCCTTTGGGGCGGGAACCAGCTCCAAAGCACACAGTAGGAGTTTCATGAATTAGCTCGGAAACAGAGGGAAGGCACGAAATCCAAGGTGTCGGCATCACTTCATGAATGAGACAAAATGCGGGCTGAGGGTCTCGTTAGTCTACGCCTCAGATCTGGCGTCGGTCTCTCCATTCTCCCCAAAGAGGCGGTTCTCTTCGGCGTATAAACGCAGAGCCACGCCCCACTTGCTTCCGCCTCCGTGTGATGCTTTCTGGCCTCTGAGGCCTCCGTAGTCCCACCCGCGCTACCCGCGAGGGAAACAGTTTTACAGAGCAGTTGTCTCACCCACCGGCATGAAGCCACCGCAGCGGCGGCGAACGGTCCCGGCACGTTATCTGGGTGAGGTGAGCGGCCCCACGGCCTGGAGCGCTCGCGAGAAGCGACAATTACTAAGACTGCTGCAGGCGCGGCGGGGCCAGCCAGAGCCAGACGCCGCCGAACTGGCTCAGGAGCTTCCGGGCAGGAGCGAAATTGAGGTGAGCTGTGGATCCCCAGAGTGGAGCGAGGTTGGAAGCGTGGCTAGGAAAATGTCAGGGCCGAGGTGGGTAGCGGAGTGGGCGGGGCGAGGGTGAAGCTTAAGGGCGGGGCTGCGGTCGGAAGCTGCGGACAGGGGTGTGGCCAGGGTGGCGAGGCTAAGGTGCGGGGCGGGGTGGGGCTACGTGTCGCTGAGGGGCTGAGTGTTTGAGCCTGAAGGGCGGGGCGTGAGTGAGTCTTGAGGAGGGGCGTAGGCGGGACGAAATCAAGATTGAGTGGCAGGGCGAGTTTGAGATTAAGGCTGTGTGGTAGGGCGTGGGCCTCGCGTAAGTAAGGGGTGGGACGATGCTAAGGGACTGGGCGTGCATGCTGCAGAGGGGTGAGGCTTGAGTGAGCTCGCCTGAAGGGTGGGACAAGCTTAACAGTAAGGCTGGAGCGGGGAGGGGTGAGGCGAGGGCAAAAGTGGCGAGGCGAGGGCAAAAGTGGCGAGGCGAATTGGAGTAAGACACTGTGGAGGCAGGGTGAAAATCGCTCGGTTGACTCTCGTGCAAATTAGATTGAAGTGAGTTAGGAAATGGGGACTGGACGAAGAAGGGAGATAAATTGGGTATGGAGGAGGCAAAACAGGCTTAGGACTTACATCTTAGGTAGCTGGTCACACACTGGGCCCTTGGCCTGAGGTCCAGCAGGGTCACTGGGACCTTTTACACTAGGCTAGCAGGAAGTTAGGGTGCAGTGGCCAGCCCTGGAGCAGTCCAGGAAGACAGTGGGCTTTAGCTTCTCTACTACATCCCTGAGCATGTTGAGGGCTCATTCGGCCTCTTGCCTCTCTCCTCCCCAGATCCGGGACTTCCTCCAGCAGCTCAAGGGCCGCGTGATCCGGGAGGCCATTCAGAGAGTGCATCCAGGTGGTAGTCTGAAGCGCCAAAAGGCACAGATCCCAGCCCCCATAGAGGTGAGGCAGGGGGGCAGGGTGAGGTTTCCCAGGGCCAGCCCCTGAGAGTGGGTTGGGAGTTGGGGGAGGATCCCCAGAAGGCCAGGGCTTAGCGGACCCCTGCAAGCTGATCCCAGGGCTGACAGTGTACCTTGTGGTATCACTCAGGTATGGATGGATCTGGCTGAGAAGATAACAGGCCCGCTGGAGGGAGCCCTGACAGTGGCTTTCTCTCAGGTACAGCTGTCCCTAAAGCAGTTGGTGGGAAGTACCAGGGGACAGGATCAAACAGTCTCAGTAAGTTGGACTGCATCTGGGCCCTGTTTCTAAGGCCATCTCCTGCCTGAGTTCAGGGTGGCAGGGAGGATTTGGTGAGTGGGTGGAGGTGAAGGGCTACACTTCTTCCTAGCAGGAGCTGAAGATGTGAAGACTTTCCACATCTCCTCCCTGGTTGTTCTACCTGCCAGGTGCTCACCATTGCCGCCACAGAACCCATCAGCCTCCTGCACTCCAAACCCCCAAAGCCCACTCAGGCTCAAGGGAAGCCACTGCTCCTGAGCAGTCTGGAAGGACAAGTGGGCCCCACCACAGAGTCATCTTCAGGGTCCCTGGCTGGCCCCTGCACTGAGGGAGACTTCACTGTGGACTTTGAGAAGATCTACAGGCACCTGTCCTCATTCTCCTGCAGTGGCCATGGCCCTGATCTCTCAGCAGCTGGTGAGAAGAGTGGAAGGTGAGGGTGGGAGGATCCCCGTGGCAGGCCCTGCTCCCCCCTACCCATCCCTTTCCGTCAATCACTAGAGTCTGCTGTTGTTCTTGACCTACTCATGTCGCTTCCTGAGGAGCTGGCCCGCCTGCCGTGCAAAGCCCTAGTAGAGCATATGGCAGAAACATACCAACGCCTGACAACCCCTGAACCCAGCCCTGCTGGAGAGAGCCTGGTGCCTGGTGCTGAGGGTGACAGGACCGGGGCCAGGAGGCCAGAGGATCCTGGCCAGGCCACTCCTCCATCCCTTGAGCCCAGTGAACTGAGATCACCCTGGCAAGCAGCTGGGATCTGTCCCTTGAACCCATTCCTGGTGCCCCTGGAGCTTCTGGGCCGAGTGACCACTCCTGCTATAGGTGAGGGGAAGCAGCCACACCAGACATCCCCATCTGGCCCTCAGTCCTGCTCTGTTGGCACTAGGTTGTCCTGAAGATCCAGTCATGGTGGAAGGTCCCTGAGATGGTGCTTAGCAGCATGGGTGACCCTTTAAGATGCTCCATACATCAGGAGTCTCAGAAATGGAACCCCAGTTTCATAGAGATTCAGTGGGGGTAGCCAGGTGGCTGGGTTCATAGAGAATGGGGGCAGGGGACTCCATCCATAAGCAGCCCAACCTCCTGGACAGGAGGATAGGTAGACGGACAAGTGGGACTGGCCTCCCCTGTTTCCCAAGCCCTGCTGTGCCTTGTTCTCTGCTGGGGGGACCATGGGTGGCAAATGTATCATAAACCCCTCACACAGACCCCCCTTTGTCTAGACTTTATAGTGCCTCTTTCTTCTATACCTCAGGGAGCTCAGACATTGCTTGGCCCTCTTTTTTTTTTTAGTAAAAACCAGTCTATAAATTTTTCCAGTTACTCAAAAATATTTTCTACAAGTTTCTTTTTTTTTTTTCAAAGCCTGCTGACAGGCAAGAGTATTTTTATTTATTTATTTATTTTTATTCAATCATAAACACATAGATCATGCCTGGCCCTTTCAATGGATTTGTTCCCAGTGCCCTCCACCGCCAGCTCCTTGCTCCTTCCCCAGAGTGTCCCATGACTGTGAATAAAGTTCTCCTGAAGCTGCCTTGCTCACTTTCTTCTGTGACTTTAAAGGGAATGGGGGTCCTGAAGTGTCAAAGTTTGGAGTTATGGGGGAGAAGGGTGCCAGAGAGGAAAACTGCCTCCACACCTGGTCCAATGACACCTGGGATGAGGAGGCTAATGTTAACTGGAGGTGAATGGACAGCAAGAATGCCAGTCAGTATTCATGGGGACCAGGTGTTAGGAATGGGTTCTTAGAATGGGGGCAGAATCATGTCATACAGATGATAGAGGGAAGCCAGTAGAGAGTGAGGGTGGTCAGGCAGGAGGAGAGAGGCTCTAGACTAGGTGGGGTACATAGACTAAATTAGGGGTGTCACCTGAAGGTGGCCTTAGTGCCTCAACGGTCCCTAGAAGGAGAGGAGGGAGACACACAAATCCTGGCTGGTCTCCAAGACCCTAAATCCCTGGTTCTTCTGGGCCTTTGGCATGCCCCCCACCCCGCCCCCCGTCAGCTTCACCTGCTCTGTGGGCACTAGGGCTCTTCCTAAGGAATCAAATGTCCTCCCACAGTGCTGCTCCCAATGCCTAGCTTGTCTGAGTCAGTAGATTCTCTGTTCACAGAGCCTGTGCCTCACCCACCCGGCCTATTATAGAAACTGTCTCTCCCCACATGCACTGCCATGGCTCCCCTGATGCAAACAACACATCTCCCCCCCATGGGAGATGCACACCCCTAATTTAGTCTATGTACCCCACCTAGTCTAGAGCCTCTCTCCTCCTGCTTGACCACCCTCACTCTACTGTCTTTCCTCTATCATCTGTATGACATGTTTCTGCCCCATTCTAAGAACCTATCCCTGACACCTGGTCCCCATGAATACTGACTGGCATTCTTTGTGCCATGGAACAGAGCTAACCCACTCCATGGTCACAGCCCCACAGTGCCAGATCTGAAGGTTGGTGGTGGATATGGTGGTGGGCAGGACGACCAGGCCTGGGAAGGTTAGGCTGCAAATAGTCCTTACAACCACCTTCTGGAGCTGGCTGAGTATGACCCTCCCAGCTCCCCACAAGGAGGGGTGAGTACAACCCTAAGCCCCCCAGTGCCTCCCCATGTCAAGGGAAACAAGTGTATGTGGGGGGAAGGGCATTAGATGTGGCTGGAGCTGGGGAAATTGAGATGGTTATAGATTAGCTCCCCCTATGCCAGTGAAAGGTGTGTAGATCTTT